GGAACCTTCTACTCTCAATTTCCATTGGTTTTATCGGACAAACATCGAATAAATTTGATCAAACAGTCCTCGCTACACTTCGGACAAAAATTAATGTATTAATTAATTAAATAACGATATAGTAGATCATTTAAAAATTATGCAAAGTTATATTTAATAAAATAATAATCCCACAAAAATTTTTCAAAAAAAATTATTCTAATTTTCCTTTTTCTCGTTAAATATTTTTAATGTTTTGAGAAAAAGTTGTATAATAACGATTATGGTAAACGCACAAACCTGGTTAGACCAAAATTATCCCGCAAATAGCGCTTGCATAAGAGTTGAAGATAAAGAAAATTATGGCAAAACCAGAGATAAAATCGTTAATTTAGATATTAGCCAACAAAATTTAGAAAGTAGCTTATATCTAAACATTTCCTTTTCTAACCTAAAAAAGTTGAACTGTTCATTTAATAGTTTAATTAAAATCTCTTTGGATTTTCTTCAAAATCTCGAAGAAATTGATCAATCTCACAATCAGATTGTTGGCGGCGATTTACAAATACCTAGCTTTTTTAATATCAAAAAATTAAATTTTTCTTACAATCAAATCTCTGGCTTTGCTTTAAACATTCCCAGTTTAACTTATTTGGATGCTACTAGTAATTCACTTAAAATGTTGGATCTTCATAACTCACCAAATTTAATAGAGTTAAAATGTTCCAATAATCCAATTTTTAACTTGAGTCTAACTCAATCTTCCAACCTTGTTCTTTTTGATTGTTTGGGCGTTAGATTTGACAAAAATGCTATGGCCCCAACTCCCACTTCTTTTCCTTCTTCTGCTTCAACTTCTCTTTTCCCAACCATGACAATCTATATCAACAACTCCACCTTCCTCGGAAGCACTATTGGCCTGGGTGTCTACTCGGGAATAAGCACACTTTGTTGTTCATAGGTTTCATTTTTCTTCGAAAACGTTTTTTATCAAGGAATGTTATCCCAACTCCGGGTAGTTTTACTTATCATAATGAAAAAATTTAGTGAAAAAAACTTTAACATGTGATTTTTGTGCAGTAAACTCAAATGTACTTTAAATACTAAATTTCTTTCAATATGCACTTTTTAGTTTTCTAAAATGATAAAAATTATTTATGTTGCTATATTATATAATAATTTATTATTCATTAGCTATTAAGGAAATAACTACCATATTACGTAAATTTAGTATTAAAAAAAATTATAGAACTATAACAACTTTCCGATTAACTGAAAGATTCTTATATTTTTCATTAATAGATAATTTCTTGAATGTATTATGTTCTGATTCAATTCCTTTGAAATATTTACTTAAAAAATTTTTTGTATGTAACTTGTTTGACCGGTTTAGTTGAACTAGTTATCCGGCTAGCTAAATGTTTTCTGGTTTGTACTAAGTTATAGTTATTGTCCACAAGTGCAATAACTGATTTATTCTCCCGGTTCTTACTATACTTCCATACTATTTTTTAAAATTAATGTATTTCATAAGGTTTATCCTTACTACAAACACAAACCTTCTTTATTTTCTTCCATTTTTTTGTTTCTTTGGCAAACAACTTCTACTTTTCGTTAGTAGTTTTAATAATTTAAAATTTTCGTTATATCAATAAAAAAAGTAAAAAAAAGTATAAAATTTCGGATCTGAAACCTTATTGGTTACACAAATTGCAGATCACTTCCGAGATCAAAAATTAGTATCACGTGTTGATTAGCCAATCAAAATTAAAATTTTAAGAACAATATCAATATGAAATCAAATGAAACTTAAATTACAATTTATATTTTAGATATTGTAACAAGACTGATATATGTATCTTCATGTATTCAATTATTTAATTAACTATTAACTGTTGTTGCTTACTACGTATTACCTGTTGCTTACAAAAGATTTTTTTATTTCGTTTCTATATTCGAACTAAGTCTAATTTAAAACCCAACTTCTCATTAAAATTCAACCGATATTTTACTAGCATATACAATAAATATATATGTACATTCTAAATAATATTCCCAGCTCAAAATCTCAAGTATTCAAGCTCATGCTTCCCGTAATATTTTAAAAAAATTATGTAATAAAAAGAAAATTAGTAAAACAACCCTATAAAAAAATTTTGTCCAAATTTTGTCGACAATGTTCTAAAAATTTTCTAAAGTTATCCTGTTTTTGTTCAAAAAAATGTTCGGAATGGAGTCGATTTTCCGAACATACCATATACTGTACTGATTTTGTACAATGTTTATACCTAATGCTATCAACCAAAAAATTTCTTTTTTTACATCACAGTATAAAAATTGTACAATATCTTACTTGGCATCCGGAGAATCGACTCCATTCCGAACATTTTTTCGGACGATGCCTACAAAAACTGAAATTTTTTTATAGAGCAATATATTATTATTTATATAATTAATTGAAATGTTGTTAAATGAAATGTTGTTAAACATTGATGCTAAAAATATAATAAAAATATATTCCAACGCTACAAAATATATACTGTAGCCTTTTACAAGTCGCTGCTTTCGCTTTTTTTTCGTTCAGTGAACTGAATCTTGACAATCTAGTTCGCACAACGCATATTTTTATAGAAACTTTGCTGGAGTTTCAAAATCACTAAAATATTGCGTATTTCATAAACAGGATTTTTAAATAGCATTTTGCTATGTCTAATTATAAATCAAAAAAATGAAATAAGATTTCTTGATTTATATTTGAAACACCCTATTGAAGGGTTTCAAAATTAGTATGCCAAAATCTGATTTTGACAGAAATAAATAATGTATCTATTTTCAAATGAATGATGTATCAACTTTATTCCATTTTTTC